GGGGGGGGCGGTCAGACCGCGCCCCGGGCCGGGCAGGGCTCTGCAGCTGCGTGAGGGAGAAATGCAGCTGCCCGCAATTCGGAACGATAAGTCTTCTAAAAGGTGTGCAGTGTCAAGTCAGCGGGTGATTCTTCTGCAGCAGTTCGGCTTTCATGCTTGCAGGAATCCCCCTTCACTATGAAGCGCACAGGTCGGACCGGCAGATGGAAACGCCCTGAGGGCCGCGGGGCCCGTTGCTGCGTGGCTGCAGCGGGGCGGGTTCCGCCCTTCCAGGCCCGGTGTTCCCTCGGGTGCTCCCCGGTTATTTCTGCCGTACGTGCTCCCTGCGCAGCCCGCACTGTGCACACGGTGTTTCCTCTGTCTCTGCAGGGCCCTGTGAGACGGGAGGCCCGTGTGAATCCCTGTGTGCTCAGAGGCAGCCCCGAGGGGCTGGGCTGCTGCTTCACACAAGAAGTAGTAACTCTGGGAAATTAAGTTCAGACATTCAGCAGCAGAACTAAACCAAGCTGAAAAACTGATTGTGATTCTTCAGTCATCTTTGCCTGTGCGAGGTAATACAATAACCATTAGCGTGCAGGAGGCTTTCAGAAGCGTGCTGCAGGGTGCTTTGCATACAGACAGCCTCGGCGTTGCAATGTATCCAAAGGCACGAATGCACCCCTCTAATGGTATTTAATAATAAAGCAGTTTGTTGGTGATAGCTGAAGTCTTGCACAGGTATGAGCTCTTGTAACAGTCTACCAACCTTAAAGCATAAAGTCAATGTTGTTGTTTCAGCACCACTGCTCCAACAGTCTTCATTAAAATAAATTTTCTTCCCCCTGCCTTACTCTACAGTATTGGCTATTTATTGCACCAAATGCCAGCCTTTTAAGATTTAACACTGTGTGGGAAATACTATTTCAAAACATAAACACAAGTATAAAGTGGGTCATTTCCAGTCACAGCATATTGTGAAATGAAATGTTACATAAATTCTGGATTTAAAAAATACTGTAAGTTCTTGACATTCAGTAGAGAGAAAATTAGCTTGGTACTTAGTCCTGCTTCCTTTTATTTCAGTGAAGACTCAAGGGACAAATTGACAAGAAGTACAAACTGGAACTTGATGTCCAGCCCATGGTTTGATTCTTGTGGGGAATACAATACCTGGACAGCAGAATGCTGTTGTTTCATCCCCCTCCTACTATGCTGTTTTTTTCTCTTGTTGTTGTAGCCATTGCAGGCACAGATAAAGCAAAATAAAGTGTTCTAAGGCAAATTAGACAGAAAAAATGGATGGAGATTTCCTGGCACCTCTGAAGGAAACTACACTAAAGTAGTCTCAGCAGTTCGTCTAATGGCTCAGTCTTTATCCAAAACATGACAAGAGGTGGCAGAAAATACTCTTGAAACTGAGAATTACATAATCACCATCCTCTTAAGCTCTTATACAAAGCTTAACAAGTGCCACCAAAGCTTATACCAGCATTGGAAGTAATTATTTTATATTCCCTGTAAGAGGCTGAAGCTTTTTTTGTGTAGGTGTTTTTGACATTTTCCTTCTCACAGAGTTGTAGAATGCCAGGGACCTCAAGGATCACCTGGTTCAAACTTTCTAGGTAATATGGCAGTTTATGTGAGATGGCTTAGCACCCTGAGCCTCATACTCGTCCTTCTCCCTGTAAAAGATAGACATTTCCAAAGGCCAAGAATATGAGGTCATTGGGGTACCAGTATGTAGGACAAAATCATTAAATACTTGCATGGCAACATTACAACAATATCTGATCCCATGAGAATCTCTGATCTACATGTTTATTTTAACAGTGTCCCTGAAAAACAGAATATTACTGTTTTCCTTATTTTATAAAGAAGTACTAAGACCCAAACAGTAAGGCTTAGGTCTGAGCTTCTGAAGTCAGGTATCCTGGCTTTGTCAAACTAGGTGCTTAACAGGAGTCAGCACTCTCAATTTGAAGGAACTATGAAAAGAGAATTCCTGACTTCATATATGCAGGCTCTCTCTGCCTGCTCCTGAATGCAGGCAGCTGTGCCCTTCTTCCCACAGTCCTAATCAAGATTCAGCCTTCTCTTTTAAGCCACCACTGCTATTATTCTCCTTTTATGTAATACACCTCAATTTAAGAGTTGGTGGGTTTTTTTGCTGTAGGGTTTTGGTTTTGTTATTATTTTTTTTTTTAACTTAGGTATTGCTTCCCTCTTCCCATCAGTATCAAGGCTTGATAGACGAAGTTATAACCTGTGGCCTAAATTTGTTCTTTTGTTGACGCTGTGCCACATGCTGAGAAAACCGATGCATTAGGCTAGAGACAGAAGCACCAAGACCGAGTCTTAAAGCTGTGGTTAAGCAACTTGTCCAGTAGAGGGAAGTCTTAGCCTCTCGTTATTACATTTTTTCAGTACAGCAGTCCCGTGTCGTTTAGATTAAATTAATAAGCAGCCTTGAGCATTGGTTTTCTGTAGCTGGTCAAGATCACTTGAATCATGACTTTAGATGTAGAAATTCAGTACCCTAAATCTGAGCATGTCACCCTGGTCTTCTTTGCAGGGAAAAATAATTAATTTTCTACTTCAGGATGAGAAGCATTTTCTTCTAAAGATGTCCGTGTTACTCCAATACCTATAAAGTGAGCCTAGAGTGACTAAATCAGACACAGACATTTCACAGATTCACACTTCCATTAGCCACACAATTTTATGGTTGGTGACCACAGTTGCCAATGTGCCACTGGTTTCAGCATCAGAAACTTGCAGCTAGGTAACCTTTTGTCTTTCTTCCCTTCATTTGCAGCAGAGCTGCTCATGAGGGCTCTTTAAATGACAGTATGAGTATACACTAAATAACTGAATATTAACATAATGCCCAAAACAAATCACCTTTGTAAAAAGGCTTTCTCTTTCTCTTATGTTGTCTAGATATACCTTATTTGCTAATTACATTTACTCCTGTAATTAAAATAAGTTGATTTCTGCAATTGATTCCTGCAATTGATTCTCCATACATTAAAGTTGCTGTGGCAAGTGATTGCTGTCATGTGTTCCACAGAGTATAAAACCAACTAATGATGCCCTGGAGTGTCTCTGCACACTTCCCTGCTTCCTTATAGTCTGCCAGGGCAGGAAGGAAATGCTGTAACAGTAGTTGCAGGGTGTATGTGCAAGCAATTACTGTGATTAAACTTGTTATTTAGCCTAGGGCTGGTGAAATGGGTGAGTGAATGGTCTGTGGCTGCTGTCCCTGTATATTGCTTATCAGTTTTACGTCCCCCAAAACACACTAGTTTCTAGTGGCTTTGCTTTCCTTGGTTATTAAGAAGTAGCCAGATTTTATAGACCCAGATGGGCTTTGTGGAGTTCTTGTGAGAGGAAAGGCCTCATCAATACTGCTGTGCCATGGCATATGATCAAATGGAGAAAGGTGCACAACCTATTCCTCAGGCTTTCTTGAAAGCAGAAATAATATAATCACCTGTTGAAACAGGAGCTTTAAGAGATTTCTTGTAACAAAACCCCCAA